AAGGATTTTGTTGAAGATTTTGACATCAGTATTCATAAGGAATATTAATCTCTAGCTTTCTTCTAGTATCTTTGTCTAGCTTTGGTATTAGGGTAATGATGGCCTCATCGAAAAAGCTCGAAAGTATTTCCTCCTCTTCAATTTTCTGTAAGAATTTGAAAAGGACTGCTGTTAATTTTTCTTTAAATATTTGATACAATTCACCAGTGTAGCCGTCTGTTTCTGAGCTTTTCTTTGTTGTGAGGTTTTTGATTAGTGATCTAAGCTTCTTACTAGTTGTAGGTCTGTTGAGATTTTTTGTTTCTTTGTCATTCAGTATTGGTAAGTTTTGTATGTCTAGAAATTTGTCCATTTATTCTAGGTTATTTTGTTGGCACACAACTAAATGCAGGTTTCATAGAGCAAACAAGGCAGAAGCATTCCTACCTCCATAGATCCCACAGGCCACGGCAAGAGACAGGTAACTAATAATTGATGGGCAGGGAAGATGTTAGAAAGGAAATACTAGCTCAAGGCTGGATGTGAATTTGTGACGGATGAGTCGATTTGGTCAGTGCATAGAAAATTCAAAGACTGGGTCCCTTGTTGGAGTAGCTGGGGAAATTTTTTAAGCCATCTGGGCTTCTCTGACAGGTATGAAGGTGACCCTCTTTGACCAATCTCTAGGATGGTCCTGTGATGTTTGGATGCAGTGAGCTTGTGGACAAAAGTCTCTGAGCCAGGTGACCACATGATTTACTACTATCCAAAAGGGTGCTGTTAATAAAGCACCAGAACAGGGGCAAACTGAGGCTATCCTGGGCAAACTGGGACTGATGTGACCCTCCCTATAGCCCATACTAGCATCATTGAGTTTGTGGGGATGGACATGCAGATGCCAGGAGTAGGCATGGTTTCATGAGGTCAGGATGGGTCTGCACAGGTGCTTCCAGCTGTTTGCTTCCTGAACTGATGGAGCTTGCTGGGCACAGCAAGGGAAAAGGCCATCCTGGTCCGCCCAAGGTGCCTGGAATCTGCTTGGGTAGCTCCCATCTGCCTTCTAGATTGTTCTTGAGAGAGGCTTCCCTGACACCTTCCTCCCACCCTACCCATGTAAATTCTTCATTTTCTCTGCATTCGTCCTTCATAGAACTTACTACCACTGCTGTTGTATTTTCACTGTATTTTTTCTTGTGTGCATTTTCACATGGCTGTCCTTTCCAAACTCTGGTGAAGTCCCACACCCAGTTCAGCACAGGGCAAAGCATCTTAATGAAAAGCCTGTTGTGTCCCATCTGCAGGTCTTTGGGTCAACTTAGCCTGAGCTGTGTTAGCGCCAGCACTGGAGGCTTCCCTGGGTTACAGGGAGGAGTAGCAGCTAGCTTGGGGACCAGGGTGGGGAGGATGAGGGTAGGGCTGGCAGGGTGCTCAGCAGCAGGCTCTTGGCAAAAAGACCTTTGAACTGTCTACTCCACAGCATGGGGAGCTAAGTAGCAAAGGACTTTTGTCCAATGTATAGTGAGTGAGTAGGGGTATGGAGTTGGGGCTGACAAGAAATTAGTGCATTCTCAGAAAAACTGAAAGTAGAATAAAATCGAGAGAGTGATGAGCGTCACCCCTAAGGTTAGCATCCATCGTAAAATACCTGGCATTGTGCTGTCTGCCCCATGCAGTGCGGAGCTGGGCTCCCTCTGACCAGGCAGAAGGAATGCAGGGCAAGAAGGGGGTGTCCTGGGGGGCGGAGCAGCCTAGCACTACCTTGGTCCTTGTTGCTGATGATATAGAGGAAGATACAGACAGTGAATTGTTTCTTTCTCTCTTTTTTTTTGAATCGGAGTTTCGCTCTTGTTGCCCAGGCTGGAGTGCAATGGCACAATCTCAGCTCACTGCAACCTCTGCCTCCCGGGTTCAAGTGATTCTCTTGCCTCAGCCTCCCGAGTAGCTGGAATTACAGGGATACACCACCATGCCCAGATATTTTTTTGTATTTTTAGTAGAGACGGGGTTTCTCTATATTGGTCAGGCTGATCTCGAACTTCCGACCTCACGTGATCTGCCTGCCTTGGCCTCCCAAAGTGCTGGGATTACAGGCTTGAGCCACCGTGCCCAGCCAGTGAATTATTTCTTCAAATTCTTGCCTTTGGCCTGATTGTTTGGGAGATCGTGAAACAGCCAAGAGAGACATTAGAAGTGCCCTGTCAATTGACAAATGAAGACATTATGGGAAAATTAAATGTAAGAGGGGAAATGTTCATCCTCACTAGAAATCAAAGTCACACAAATAACCCATTTTTAACCTGTCAAATTGGCAAACACCAGTGCCTTGACTGTGCCCAGCATCTGGGCTGGTATAAACAGCTCCTGGACCCCGGATACCAAGCCACGTTTTGGGGCTAAATTGGCACGAGCACCGTAAGACTCCGTTCCCTCACCCTTCCCCACTAGGAGATCCTTTTGGTGAAATGCTAACCAGGAATAATGACAGAGGTCCTCACAAGACTCACCTACAGGGTCGCGTGGACATCTGGAGCCCAACTTGGGCATCCAAGCACAATCCAGCCTGCCTCAAAGCCTTCAACAGACCACAGCACTGGGGGACACAGCAAGCCCTGTCCTCAGGGTGGCCATCGGCTTCTCCGCCCTCCGTGGATTCCTCTAGGCTGGGTGCTCTATCAGCTGCTCCTGGCCCAGACCTGTATTCCGAGACGCGTTCCAGTCATGGCTGCATCACCCGCCCATGCCACCCATCTCCCCGTCATCTTTTTCTCATTTTCTTGTTTGAAATATTATTTGTACACATGTATGTTATCCTTCTACTCAAAGGTAAATGCAAGAAAGGCAGGGGTCTTGACATCTTCTGTCCCATGGGGCCTAGGGCTGGGCCTGACACGGACTCTTCCCTAAGAGCTTCCTGAACAGTGGGGAAAGACAATACGTTTTGATGCAGCCCCACCGTGGAGTCTGCGGGACTATGGCAGGCTATGGAATGGCAGGGAAAGGCAATCATCAAATGATGCTAAGTGGCGAAAATGTTAAAAAATATTAACAACATGATTATTTTTGTCTATGAAAAAAATACATTGCATAGGAGAGAGACGAAATGTTAAAATCAGGTGGCTCCCGATGGAGGAATTACTGGGGATTTCTTTTCCTTTTTGTGTATCCAGCATTTATTCACCACAATAAACACATAGTGCTTTTGAAACACGAAAGAATTCAGTAAGACCCATTTTTTGAAAAGGAAGAGACTAAATGGCCAGGCAGGAGAGCATACGACTTGCCCCAGGATACCATGCTGCCAGGAAGGAGAAACACCAGCATCACCATTTATTCCAGCCCGCACCAGCGTCAACCAGAGCCACTGGCCCCAGGGCCCATCTCAGCATCGCCCTTGGGCCTTCCTCTGCAATTCCGGTGGTGTGGGAGGAGTGTCCTTGGCCTCTTTGTTCCAGCCACAGGGTCGCCGGAGCCCTAGCACCCTCTCCCTTCTTCTCTCCTTCCCGAGCCTGCACCTCCTGGGCCCTCAGGAGCAGGCAGACAGACCCATCTTAGAGCTAAGGGTTGGGTTCCAGCCTAGTCCCTGCTGAGAGTGACCTGGAGCACGCCGTGCTGCTCTCTCACCTACAGCAACTGCAACTCAGAGATGGAAGCCGCCGGAAGGCAGGAGCACCTGCCTGCCACGCGCTCTGCTGCTGCTCAGACTGGACTGTTCCGAAGCCCGTCCCTCTCCCCTCTCGAAGCCAGAGGATTGTCCCCTGCCCGTTTGCCATTCTCAAGTGGGGTGGACCTGCCCCGAGAGAGAGGGAAGAAAACCGCGCGGTCGTCAGGGCGGGGGTGGCACTGCAATGGGGGGTGGAAGCTCGGGGGCCCGACAAGTGCTCCCCCAAAACGCGGCGCCTCCGCCAGGCACTCGCGACCCAGAGTGGGTCTGACTTGTTCCCGTCACACGCAGGGGCCCCAGCAGAACGGCGCTCTCGGAAGACGGAGCCGTCCGGGCGCCCCCATCTCCCCGCAGCGCAGAGGAGGGCTGGCTGGCCCGCCACGGGGCGGCTGGCGCCGGGAAGCAGCGAGCCCCCGGCAGGGCCGGAGGAGGCGGGGTGGGAAGCGGCCCCGGAGCGAGCGAGGCCGGCCCCCTGCCCTCAGACCCCGAAAGCCCACCCCACGAAGAGCAGGCGTCAATTCGTCCGGGGTCTGAGCGGCCAGGGCCGGGAGAGCTCTCGGGGTGTTCGGTGGGGGCTCGGGCTCCCGGGGCCTCCTTCCGTCCCGGGGAAGACGGGTCTCCGCCGAGCCCGGCCCCGGCCACGCAGCAGCACCGGCCGCGCCGCTCCGCTCGCGGCCGCCGGGAGGAAACACCCGAGAGCAGGCCCCGCCCACACGGCCCCGCCCCGCGCGCTGCGCACGCACCCGAGCCTGCGCGGCGGCGGACCAGGAAGCGCCACGCGAGGCCCCGCCCCGCCCGGCCCCGCCCCGCCCCGCCCTCTCACAGGAAGGAAACGCGCCCCCGGGCGAGCGCCAGCCCCTCCCTGCAGCGGGGTCGCCGCGGCTCTCTCGGGCGGCTCTCTCGGCCGCCGCCAGCGCCGCCAGCCCGCCAGCCCCCACTAGAGGGCAGCACGGGGAGCGTCTCGGCAGGCGCTCGGCGGACCTGGGCACAGCGACCTCCCATCAGGCTGCAGGGAAGAGCCCCGGGTCAGACGGACGGCGTGAAAGCCGGCCACGCCCGTAACATCCAGCTTTTAAAGCATGCTGGAGTCCAATTCATTGCGTCCTTGGGGCTTAAGAACACCTTTTCTGTAAGCCTGCTTTAGCAGAGAGAATTTTTTATCCCTTTGGTTGCTTGAAACTTAACTATCAAATTAACCATGTATGAATGTTCCTCTAAGCCGGAAACCTGGAATTCCTTTGAAAGGGTACAATATTTTTAAACTTTGGTTATCTGATCAAGCTTTTCAGTAATTGTTTCTATTTGAATTAAACCTCGATAAAATTAGCTTTTACAAGTGAATTTAAAAGCCACGCCATACTTTATACTAAAAGAATAAAGATTTTTATTAAGCATTGTAAGTTGCATTCAATAGCCTTCAGATACACCACACCACAATCCATCGACAGTCAATCAAACCCAACAGCAGTTCATTCTTGCACAATCCATGAGTTAGGGCAAAACTCCCTTCAACTTACAGTAAGATCCTACTTAGCTCTTGCGGGCAGGGGTTGGGGAATTACACCTCATTTCTGATCACTAATGTGATGAAGAGCATCAGAAGTATATGAAAACGATAAGAAGTGATTCTGATTTCAAAGTACATTGTTTGGAAACATTAACAAAAACATCAAAATGATAGAAGTATACCTGCTTCTACTAAATTCTTGATGGGAAAGTTCTCAAGAACAAGCAATTTGTTTCCTGCTACAGAGGGGGGGTGGTTTTTTTTTTCTTTTTAAAGATCAAAGGGTTTTTTTTTTTTTTCACAGAATTTCATATTTGCTAATATGAAGGCATAAAACAGCAACAAAGAACAATAATGCATACAGCAGTGAATACACCAGGGTAATGTTGATATTCGAAACGGCTAGATAATTTTGGGGGGGGCTTTAGAATAAATGCAACAGAGGTCAATAATCACAAAATTTTAAGGTTAGAGCAAGATCAGTCAATGACTAAACAGAGTTAACATCTTTTATAGGACTATTACTGATTATTAGCATTTTTGTTTTGCAAATGGGCACATACTGGTAAGAATGGAAGAAAGGACGATAACATGCATATTAACTACACACTTTAAAAATTATGAACCATGCAGAAGTTTAGCTCAAGTAGTAGTACTAATGGTCTACATCCGATTCAAAACCACATAGTTCATTGATCACAGATGCATGGTATTAGTCACGAAAAGTTTCAGAACACATTGTGTTGATTTTGAAAGGTCATTTGCATCTTCTATGATTTCAACTTTATCTCCATTTAACTTGCTTGTAAAGTATGTATGATGTATTGTATATTTAAAATCAGCAGAACGGCAATATTACTCTATAATTTTTTAGTTTTGATAGTTGCACTTTTTTTTTTTTAACACAAAAGAACCACATCAACAGTGATGAAATTTAAGAAAGAAAAACTGTGGTTGTGCCTTATTTCTTTCATAATCATAAAAATCAAAGCCTTAAAGAAAGCTTCATTGTGAAACAGTAATGCAAAATCAAATATAATGGCATACATATGGTGCCAAATGCTAAAAATTATATTTTAAGCTATATATACTTAAAGACTGCCAAAATTTGTTTTCTTTATAGTTCAAGAAACACAACTATAGGCTTTTGTCATAACCAGTTTAAACTTTATGTGTACTTCATTTTAAGTGCGGGAGTCAAATGCTCTTCATTTTCTTTCTCTTTTTTGTTTTATTGTAGCATTTTGACTACAACTGGTTAAAACTAAAAATGTGTTGTTTAAATCTCTGATATCAAAGAGGGATCTGAATTTCCAAAGTCCTCATTTTTCTCTTACGGAAAGGACAAAATGTACATAACTGCAGGCTCTCTCTCTCCAGATATTCCTAAATCTTTACCCTTCCAGCATCCTTCACCCTCTATAAAAAATAAGTTTACTCTTCTTTATTTAAGACAGCTGCCTCCAGAGCAGCTTCTCTGCGGCAAGCGCTGTCTGTACTTAGTGCATTTAAATGAGGATTTGTATTGCACGTTTTAGAGTCATTATTCAAGGCACTTTCAGAGTGGCTGGGGGCCCTGGCATCACCCGTGCTCCCGTTCATCTGGGGAGCCGGTTTCTCCTCGGCCATCACTCCGTTTTCAGCCAGGGACCCGTCTGAAGACATAGCAGAGGACTTCGATTCCCCAGATTTTGACTTAAGTTCTTTGGCCACTTCTTCTGCTGAAGCAGCATAAGGAGGTCTGCCCTGTTTAAAACAAAGGACAACAAATGAGAAGGTGGCTTCTGATAAATGGCAGAAGAGAGAAGATGCCCATTTTGGCCTCATGACACTCTCTGCAGATTCAAGAGCAGAAAATGCCCGGTGGGGTCCCTCTAACCCTGTCTTTGCTTTGACTTTCAGGTGGTATAAGCTCAACCTGTCTCAATCAGTTCCCTCCATGGCCCCTTCCCTCAACTCCTCTGTAGTTAATACCCTGAAAATGAGGGAGATTCCTACTCCAGGAGCTCTGGTCTAATCCTTTGTATGGCACCAAATTGTTTAAAATAACAAAATGCCCCTCAATAGGTCTTTTCTAAAATTACTATTCCCAGCACCACAAAACAAACAGGGTCCCCCACATCTGCCTGTGATGTGCAGCAGTGCGCACCCCCCGTTTCTACTGCGGAAATAACAGGCATTGCTGGGGACCCTCAACAAGAAATCTGCACTGATAATTGCCCCGTGCTTGTGAAATATCTCCTCTGAATGGGTCTTCCCCATTCCTAATAGGTTTAATAATAATTATCTGGGAAAAAAAAAAAAAAAAAAAAGGCTCTCGAGATGAATCCAGCACATTTTCTGAAAGACATGGCTCTCTGTGAGGGCACTGAAGACAGATCTTGAGTTGCTTCTATCACTGGACCAGGGCTCCTCAACCTCAGCATATGGTATGGTGGCTCTGTTCATTCTCTGTGGTGGGATTGTCCCATACACCATAGGGTGTTTAACAGCATCCCTAGGCTTCACCCATTAAAAGCCAGTGCCCACATGAGGTCATAACAATCATCATCTCCAAATATCCTTGGGAGCCAATCACCAGGGCTGAGAGTCACTGTCATAGATTGACTCAATGCTGAAGAAAACCTGGATGGTTTTCACCTTCAAATGGTCATTTTACAGATGAGAACAGGAATCTTCCAGCTTGCCATTGCATCCCCTTCCCAACAAAGATGGTGGTACTTTCCAGCATCTTCTAGGCCTCCTATTCTGAAAACCAGGGTATTTGCCTTCTTGATGACAAAGCCCATTCATTCAACCCAGATGGAGATGTGACCCTTGCCTAAGAAATGACCTCAATAAACCAAAGGTCCCTACATACTCTCCTACGACATAGATGTTAGCTTCCAACCCTAGGGTTCAGAAATACTAATGCACCCTTCTCCATAAGTAAATGCAATCACCATTTTCTTTGAACCTGGAGACAAATAATATCAAACATAAAAATACAGCAGGACTACTGGGCACGGGGCTCATGCCTGTAATCCCAGAACTTTGGGAGGCTGAAGCGGATGGGAGAGTGAGACTCTGTCTCGAAAAATAATAATAATGATATAGAGCACAACCAAGAAGTAAAAAAATAATTCTGAAGATTTTAACGTATCCTTTCAAATCTCAGAGCCCTCACTGTCAGGGAGAGTCCACTACAGGACTCAATCAGCACGTATGGTAGGATCGTCAGGAGTTGGAAGTGGGTACCTGTGGATGCTTGCTGCAGGAGTCATAATACAGGCCTGTTACGGACACTCAAAGGAGTCCCTCCCAGTGACGGGGGAGGGGTGCGCACAGAGGGTGAGGGGACTGGGAAGGAAAGTGGCTTTCACCTATTTGGAAACAGACATCCCCTCTTTCTACAACCATAAGCCTTTGCCACCAGGAGCAGGTTCCTCATGCCACCACCAAATGCACTGTGTGTGGTGTGGCATCTTCTGCTCCACTGTGTGTCCTCTGAGAACTGACCAAGCAACAGGATGGGGCTCTGCACCAAGGGCAAGTGCTGGGAGTGGAATAAAAACGGGACGGATGGGGCAACAAAAAGAGAGAGCCTAGAAATTCTCAGGAAGCAACTGGCATATTTTTAACATACGATGAAAACCACAAAGGAAGAGCAAAGCTGCCCACATCCTCCAACCTTCCCAGGATGCACAGTGGAAAGTACCAGGTGGAATCACACACAACCCTGTGAGAAATGGGAGAAGAGGGTGAAGTCACAGGCCCACACACGACGAAGCACACCAGAGAGACAGATTCACAAAAAGACCAGAAGTACCCCCTCTGATTTCAAAACAGGTTGATAAAATGATAGAAGACATGAAACAACAGCAGAAATCAAACTAAAAGACTGGGAATGAAGTGAAAAAATTTAGAGAAGAATTCAAAATAAAAAGAAAAACTTCATTACAGAAATGAAGACTAAATTAGAAGAAACACAAGAACAAATACCCAAAGAAGACAAAAAGGAAGAAAAGATTTTTAAATTGGAAAGAAATAAAGACAGGGAATACAAATCAAAACCACAATGAGCCAGGCACGATGGCTCACACCTGTAATCCCAACACTCTGAGAAGTCGAGGCGGGCAGATCATGAGGTCAGGAGTTCAAGACCAGCCTGGCCAACATTGTGAAACTTGGTCTCTACTAAAAATACAAAAATTAGCCAGGCGTAGTGGTGTGTGCCTGTAGTCCCAGCTACTCGGGAGGCTGAGGCAAAGGAATTGCTTGAACCCGGGAGGCGGAGGTTGCAGTCAGCTGAGATCATGCCACTGCACTCCAGCCTAGGCAACAGATCAAGACTTATTTCAACAACAACAACAAGGAAACCCACACACAATGAGATAATACTTGACATTCACTAGGAAGGCTAAAACCAAAAAGAAGAAAAACAGCAAGTTTTGGCAAGGATGTAGAGAAACTGGTGTCCTTGTACACTGCTGGTGGGAATGTAAAATGATGCAGCTGCTTTAGAAAAGAGTCTGGTAATTTCTCAAATGGTTAAACATACAGTGACCATGTGAGCCAGAAATTCTACTTGTAGGCATATACACAAAAGAACTGAAAACACAAACCCACACAAGGATTTGTAGATGAATGTTCCTAATACTATTATCTGTAACAGCCAAAAGGTGGAAACAACCAACTGTCCATCAACAAATGAGTGGATACATAAATACGGTCTTTCCACACAATGAAACACTATTCAGGAATAAAAAGGAATGAAATGCTGATACACACAACAATGTGTATATTTATACGAAATATACAAAACAGAAAACTCCAGAGACACAAAACAGATCAATGATTGCCAGGGGCTGAGGGGTGGGGTGGGGCGACTGCAGAGTGACTACAATGGGCAAGGAGTTTCTCGAGCAGTGATAAATGTTCTGGAATTAATGGTGATGGCTGCTGGACTTGGAGAATAAATTAAAAACCACTGATTTACAAATGACCCAATTAGAAAATGGTGCAAAGACCCAAACAGATATACAGATGGCAAATAAGCACATGAAAAGATGTTCCACATCGTAAGTCATCAGGGAAATGCAAACTCAAACAAAAAGCTCCCACTACACACCTATGAGAATGGCCAGAATCCTGAACACTGACACCACCAAATGCTGGAGAGGATGTGGAGTAACAGGAACTCTCTTTCATTGCTATGGGGAATGCAAAATGTTATAGCCACTCTGGAAGACAGTTTGGTGGTTTCTTACAAAACAAAACACACTTACCATAAAATCCCAAAGTCATGTTCATGGATATTTACCCAAAGGAGTTATGTCTACATGAAAACCTGCACATGGGTGTTAATAACAGCTTTATTCATAAGTGCCCCTCTGTAAGCAACAAAGATGTCCCTTAGTAGGTGAATGGATAAACTAGCATATCTGGACAATATAAGCTACTCAGTGCTTAAAAAAAAAAAAAAAAAGAACAGTGAAGCCATGAAAAGATATGGAGGAAACTTAAATGCATATTGTCAAGTGAAAGAAGCCAATGTGTGGCCGGGCGCGGTGGCTCAAGCCTGTAATCCCAGCACTTTGGGAGGCCGAGGCGGGTGGATCACGAGGTCAAAAGATCGAGACCATCCTGGTCAACATGGTGAAACCCCGTCTCTACTAAAAACACAAAAAATTAGCTGGGCATGGTGGCACGTGCTTGTAACCCCAGCTACTCAGGAGGCTGAGGCAGGAGAATTGCCTGAACCCAGGAGGCGGAGGTTGCGGTGAGCCGAGATCGCGCCATTGCACTCCAGCCTGGGTAACAAGAGTGAAACTCCGTCTCAAAAAAAAAAAAAAAAAAAAAGAAAGAAAGAAAGAAAGAAGCCAATGTGAAAAGGTTACACACTGTATGATTAACAACTATGTGACGTTCAGGCCAAAAAAGATCTGGTAACTACCCAGATGGGAGGAAGAAGGGATGAACAAGCAGAGAATAGAGAATTTTAGGGCAGTGAAATTACTCTGTGTGAAACTATATTGGTACATACATGCCATTATACATTTGTTCAAATCCACAGAGTGCACAACACCAAGAATGAACCCTAACATCAACTGTGGACTTAGTGTGAAAAGGATGTGTCAATGTAGGGTCACAGAATGTAACAAAGGGAGCCCTCTGTGGGAGAGGTTGACAATGGAGGAGTGGTGTGTGTGCCAGCACAGAGGGTTGTGTGTGTGCCTGCACAGAGGATATGGAATTCTGCCTTCTGCTTCTATACCTTCTGCTCAATTTTGCTGTGAACCTGAAACTACCTCTAAAAATTAGTCTCTGAGAAAAACAAACCATTGAACTGTACTTTAAAATAGGTAAACTTCATGTATGTGAGTCATATATTTAAAAAGAAACAAATACAAAGGACAAAAAATTGTTTTTAAAACTATTAATTCAAGGAAACTTTCTAAAATAAAATGAAATGTGAAATTACCTTTGGAAAGCATGCTTTTCACACTGAGTGCCCTGATCCAGAATAACTAGTCCCAGGACACTGTGAAGGAAAGTCGTTAAACTCTTACTGAGACACAAAAAACAGTTTGGGCATTTAGGCCAAAATTGCAAGTGACTTCGAAGGGGAAAAAATTAGACTATTATCCATTTTTGAGAGCAGAGCTTCATGCCAGAAGAAAATGAAGCAGCACCAGGCGTGGTGACTCATGCCTGTAATCCCAGCACTTTTGGGAGACTGAGACGGACGGATCACCTGAGGTCAGGAGTTTGAGACCAGCCTGGCCAACATGGTGAAACCCCATCTCTACTAAAAATACAACAATTAGCAGGGTGTGGTGGCACATGCCTGTAATTCCAGCTACTCAGGAGACTGAGGCATGAGAATCACTTGAACTCAGGAGGTGGGAGGTTGCAGTGAGCTGAGATTGTGCCACTGGACTCCAGCCTGGGTGACAGAGCAAGACTCCAACTCAAAAAAAAGAAAGAAAATGAAGCAACATAAGACACTTGAGCAAAGAAAATGTGAGCCAGTGCTCCCAGTTATAAGGGAAATAAACTGTTTTCAAGTTAATATTATTCCTACATTCTTCCTGAGGAACCCTTCCTGAGAATCTACTAAATAAAGGGTTTCAGGAGCCGAAATGGATGCACGGACAAGGCTTGGTAGGGGCATGAGACATGAAGGTGTTTCTAGAACCAAGGCAGATGAGGTAAGAAGGGAATGTACAGTAGGTCACGCTGGTTGCGTAGATAACGTACGCAATAATAGCACAGCTCTTTTTTTTAGAAATGCAAGAGTGCTGAGGGAGAGCGAGAAGCAAACATCTCCTTTAAACTGTTCGCAGTAATTTAGGCTGGTAAGGGTAGCGCTCACTCTGAGCCTCTTGTGTGTACAGTATGGAAAAAGTATATAATTAGTTTTGTATATCCAATCTAATCTACTCCTGACTACTTTTTTTGTTTTGTTTTGTTTTGTTTTTTGTTTTTTGCTTTTTTTGAGACGGAGTTTCGCTCTTGTTACCTAGGTGGAGTGCAATGGCGCGATCTCGGCTCACCGCAACCTCCGCCTCCTGGGTTCAGGCAATTCTCCTGCCTCAGCCTCCTGAGTAGCTGGGATTACAGGCACGTGCCACCATGCCCAGCTGATTTTTTGTATTTTTAGTAGAGACGGGGTTTCACCATGTTGACCAGGATGGTCTCGATCTCTTGACCTCGTGATCCACCCGCCTCGGCCTCCCAAAGTGCTGGGATTACAGGCGTGAGCCACCGTACTTTTTTTTTTTTGAGACACCGTCTTGCTCTGTCACCCAGGCTAGAGTGCAGTGGCACAATCTCAGCTCAACCTCTTGGCCTCAAGCAATTCTCCCACCTCAGCCTCCTGAGTAGCTGAGACCACAAGTACTTACCACCATGCCAAGCTAATTTTTGATTTTTTGCAGAGACGAGGTCTTGCCATATTGCCTGCTGGTCTGAAACTCCTAATCTGCCTGCCTCAGTCTCCCAAAGTGCTGGGATTATAAACATGAGCCACTGTGCCCAGCTTTTTCTGACTTCTTAAGAACCAAGATTCTCAGGGAGGAAGAAGGGACATTTAGATATAAAGTAGAGGTTAAGTAAAAGTCTTAAAGTCCTACATTTGAATTGGAAGATTCAGTATAAACTCATAATGTCATTCATTGGTGGGGACAGCACATTATGTATATATAGTGTATGCCTGTGTACATAGGTACACGTGTGCACAGTACATACATGGACCTGTGTTTATGCACCTTTCCTCCCTAGTGCTATGTGCAGGAAAAGCCTACAGTGACTCAGTACAGAAGAAAGGACATACAGATCACGACAGTAGGTTTTTAAAGGCCTTGTAGTCCTCAGTTTGAATTAGAAACATCAACAGAAATTCATGACGATCTTATATTTAAAAAAGAAAACAAAACCTTAGATGAATGTGTGTGTTTATGTGTGAAAAATCAGAATTCCGGGTGTGGATATACTTCCCGCTCCACGCCAGTTCTTCCACAGAACACTAGGAACGGTGAACAGTGCTATGGTAATAAGACCTGTCCATGCTCAGACAGGTCCTGAAATGTTTCCCATTAAAGAAACCAAGAAACTGGCTAGGCACGGTGGCTCATGCCTGTAATCCCCAGCACTCTGTGAGGCCGAGGGAGACAGATCACCTGAGGTCAAAGGTTCAGTCTGGCCAACATGGTGAAACCCCATCTCTACTAAAAATACAAAACTCATTTGGGCGTGGTGGGGCGCGCCTATACTCCCAGCTACTCGGAAGGCTGAGAGAGGAGAATCACTTGAGCTCGGGAGGCAGAGGTTGCAGTGAGCCCAGATTACACTACTGCACTCCAGCCTGGGCAACAGAGCGAGACTACATCTCAAAAACAGAAAAAAAGGCCGGGCGCGGTGGCTCAAGCCTGTAATCCCAGCACTTTGGGAGGCCGAGGCAGGTGGATCACGAGGTCGAGAGATCGAGACCATCCTGGTCAACATGGTGAAACCCCGTCTCTACTAAAAATACAAAAAATTAGCTGGGCATGGTGGTGTGTGCCTGTAATCCCAGCTACTCAGGAGGCTGAGGCAGGAGAATTGCCTGAACCCAGGAGGCAGAGGTTGCGGTGAGCCGAGATCGCGCCATTGCACTCCAGCCTGGGTAACAAGAGCGAAACTCCGTCTCAAAAAAAAAAAAAAAAAAGAGAGGAAACTAAGAAACTGAAAGTGGTTGTTCCAGCTCTGACAGGCCAGGCAATCTCCAAGGTGAGCCTGGACCATCATGCCACACCAGGCAGGAAGCCACCAGAGACACACAGTCATGGAAAAGGGGAGAGACGACCTGAAGAGGCACTCAACAGCAAACGATCTGGGCTCTAGGAAACGGACATTTGGTGAGCAGCTATGTGCCAGTTACGGTGTTAGACGACTGACAGCTAAAGCATTATCCTCACAGCCCTCTGTCTGAGCGCAGGCACTAGAAGTGCAAGCTCGGACAGGAACATCCCTGAGGGCACTGAACCGGCACAAACACCATGTTGTCTTCTTACCTGAATTGCTGCCTGATTTTTGTAACCTCGGCCATAGTACCTTCCACCTCTTCCAAATGTTCTAATCACTGGGGTGGAAATAACTCCTCTGGGACGCCTAAATGAATACAAAAGGAAAACAATAAACACTTAAATCTGTTACAGGCATTTAGAATAATATCAAATGATTTTAAAGCCATCCAGTCTTACACTTTATGAAGCACTGAATTAACCCATTTATGCAGAAGGTTGCAATTTTTTGAGTTTTATCAGACCTTGGCGATGACTTTGAGCAGGACATAAATAACTCCCACATGCTTAGGGTTCCAATAATGGAACACTGGGGATAAACAGGTTAAGTATGATCATAGGGAAGGTTTATTCCAAGGAATCAATCTTATTTTTTTGGTTCATATCCATTGCATTTGCAGTCAAATGTTCCACCCCTGAGCTACACCCACCCCCATATCGAATGCATTTGATTTGAAAACTAGTACTTTAATAATACTACTTTTAAAAAATTGTTAAGGCACCTGGATAATTGAAAATTGTATGGTTATTTAATAATGGCTAATTGAATAATTATATAATACTATAAATGGGATTGCAAGCATTATAGATGATATTAAAGGCTGGGCACAGGGGCTCACACCTATAATCCCAGCACTTTGAGAGGCCCAGGCAGGTGGACTGGTTGAGCTCAGGAGTTCAAGACCAGCCTGGGCAACAAGGTGAAACCGTGTCTCTACCAAAAGTATGAAAATTAGTCAGGCATGCTGGTGCATGCCTGTGATCGCAGCTACTCGGGAGGCTGAAGTGAGAGAATGGCTGGAGCCCAGAAGTCGAGGCTACACTGAACTGTGATTGTGCCGCTGAACTCCAGCTTGGGTGACAGAGTAAGACCTGTCTCAAAATAAATACATAAATAAAAATGAAATAATTAAATAAATACAAATGATATTAAAGAAGAATGTATCTAATGATACAAAAATTTTCCTACTCAACTCCCAAGTCAAAAAAGCCAGTTAGAAGCTGTATTCTTTATTTATACAGAAGACATTCTCATGGCTCAGAACTTACCCTCTGGCTGGTCCTCCAACAGAAACCACCTGCAGGGGGAAAGGCCCCCGGCCCCCACGGCCCCTCCTGCTCCCAGCCCAGTGGCCAACCACAGTGCCAGCTATTTCTAGTTTGCCTCCCTGAGAAGGTATAGGTTGGACTCCTGCACAAAAAATATGCAAAAAGACAAGATCTTTACAATCACAGAATTAAGAATAGCAAAAAGGCACAGCAAGAAACATCTTTTCAATTTTGGTTTACATTTACCATGAAGCTACTTTCTCCTGCTTTGTAAAATTTTGTATTATGTAGTGTATCTATGCGCACATTGTTTGACTTTAAACTACTGTGAAGAACCCGTGACAACTGAATTAGGTTACAACTGCAAATGTGCAAGCCTTTCTAGATAGAAACAGATTCAATCAAGTGTTGTCACCGGGCCGTATGGCATGCCTTCTACATCACCAAGATGGAAATCTGCAAACTCAGCATGTTTTTCTCTGTAGGCAAATACTTCCAGGTTTACTACCTTAGCCAAACACCATAAAATCAATAAATCTAGCCTGTATTTCTTATTCTATTTTTAAATTAGAATTTCCTTAAGCAGAGTCACAAATAGAATTTACTAACTTCTTTTAATTGCTGCAAACTGTAAGTTTTCTGACCTAAGAAAATTCTCAAATTGCTAACTGGCCGCAAAACTTCTGATTAAAAACAAAAAAAAAAAAAAACAAAACCAGAGCCCCAAGCATCTTGTTTTCTAACAGTGGGAATGGATATGGCAATTCAGCACTGTCCAACAGAAACCTACAACAGGCTTTATATTTTCTTGTAGCTACATGAAAAATGTACAAAGAAACAGAGGAAAGACGTTTTAATAATACATTGATTTAACCCCATGTATCCAAAATAATACTATTGCAACAAGTAGTCAAGGAAAAAAAATTTTTTCTTTTTTGAGACAAGGTCTTGCTCTGTCACCCAGGTTGGAGTGCAATGTCGTGATCATGGCTCACTGCAGCCTTGACCTCCCAGCTCCAGCAATCCTCCCACCTCAGCCTCCTGAGTAGCTGGGACTACAGGTGCGTACAACCACACCTGGCTAACTTTTAAATTTTTTTTGTAGAGGCAAGGGTCTATGTTGTCTAGGCTGGTCTTGAACTCCTGCCTCAAGCAATTCTCTCTCCTTGACCTCCCAAAGTGCTGGGATTATAAGCATGAGCCACTGTGCCTGGCTCAAGATAAAAAATGGATGAGCTATTTTAGTTTGCTTCCCATTTTAAGTTTAAAAATCTGATATTTTACACATTTTAGCCAGAGTTGAAGTGCTCAACAGAGCATGTGGCCAGCAGCGACTATACTGGGCAGTGCAAATCTGAGTTCCAGACACAATTCTAAGAAAGTTAGGAAGCAGGTTGCTTTTATCATTCCAGTGTGAGTTCACTTCTTACCCCACTCTATCCATAGTACAGTCTCCCCTCTCCCTCCATCTTTGATCCCAACTACAGGCCAGCTTCAGTTTCAAGGCACTAAAAGGAGCTGAAGCAAATCAAGAAGCAGAGAGAAAACACAGCTGTGAGCTGCATGAGGAGCAGTCACAGAGCAGAGTAGCACCCTGCAGGAGGCCGGTGGGCGGACGGAGGAGGCAGAGGGGCATGCAGCTGCATGGGAAAGGAGAGGCAACCTGAGGTTGCAGACAGAAGGGCTGACCCATCGCCAAGTCCACCAAGAGTCACCTTTCCACACATTTGTCCCTTGCTGGCCTCCCTAACTACCCCATGTAACTGAGTTGGAAAATCGCAGATCAAGAGAGAAAGGCTTGCCCATCCTCAATGTGACTCCAAAAATCACATCTGAACACTCAGTCCTGTTATGTGACTTAATGGGCAGATTTAGATCTGCAGTCCCAAAACGTGGGATTAGGAAAAAGACACAGGTCACTGGCTTCCAAACACAGCACCACCACAAGACGTTGCTTCCTATGCTAAATGGTAAGACCCTTTTCTCCTTTGCAAGCCTAATACAAATGCAAAGAGAATCACTGGGAATCTACAGTAAACCGCCTTGTTTATATTCCCAACATTAGATCTTTGTTTAAAAATGTTTCTGTGAAACAAACTGTGACAGACTTTTTATGTCAGGAATTCTGTGACCATTAGAATTTTCTATACAAGTATGATAATCTTTACCAAAAGATGGCTGCTTGGGAAAGAAACGCCACTATTAGTCAGCAGCTCATCCTATGAACACGAGGCGATGGTCAGGTGCACAGAAAGGCTCTGTTCTAGGTGGACACTCAGTGGTCTACCCTGAAAGGAGAGACTGGCCACAGCAGAGCCACTGCCGAGACCTGAGAGCAGAGAGTCTCGGGAGGAGCGGTCAAGGAGGGTCAGAGCAGGGACCCAGAAGAAAGCCCGTTCTGCTGGAGGAGGGACTCATGAGGACAGTAGAGGAAGGAAGGCGCCAGACGATGGAGCGAAGGAAGTGCTGGCAGGCAGAAGCTCTGGGAAGGGGTGGGTATAATTACCGCCCTGGGACTTGCTAGTCCTGCTGCTGTCACTGCCTGAGAAGGCTCCGCAGTGTCCCGATGCTGCCGCCACACGGAAGGCACGGTAGGGGCCTGTTGCTACCGTTTCCCCATAGGGGCCTCCAAAGCCACAGACGCCTGTGGGACCCGGGGTAGAGAAAGAGGGGAGAAGTGTAAGGGACAGGACTCAGGGCCCTGCTGGGTGTTCAGGCAGAGAGGCCCCTGCCTCCTCCAGCTGCCGCGGAGGGCTCTCCTGGCCCCTCTCTTCACCTCACTGTCCTGTGCCCATGGTCCCTGGGGACCAGCACTGAAAGGCCACCCTCCCTGCAGTGGGTCATCAAACAGGGCACTGACATGGGGCTCAGGATGGGCCCTGAGAGATGAGTCCGGAAAGATGGCTGTCTCTGACCTGGGTGGGTTTATTTTCCTTTACACATGATAAAAGTACATATATCTTAAAACGTGAGCAGAGTTTTCAGACTGACTGACAGATTTTACGATGCAGCTTTTGCATCAGCATCAGCGGGTCCCTCTCCCCTCCTCTCCAGGATCAAATTTGCTCCTCACAGACTTGAAGAACTGCTGCTGCGGGATCTCCGAGACCAACAGTGACAAGGTCAACAAAACAGACGGGCTTGCCTACAAGGGCTGCACGTTCTTTAGAGGCATCTGGCATCTGTTACCCACAGGAACAAGTTCCAATCAACTCACCTGCAAAGCCTCTGCCCCTGCCCTGAGAGGGTGGGACAGGCCCAAAGTGCCGGGGGTATGCAGAGGCAGGGTAGAAGGGCAGGGCAGGAGGTGGCGGGAAAGGGAGCGTGTGGCTCTGCCGGGAGAAGCTGAGCCCCTCGAGGACGCTCTGGCGCATCTTCTCTACCTTGGCAGCCTGCTCAGCCTGGAAGTCAAGGACCAGCATGTGAAAATGCCATCCACAAGGTTTTAATTGAATTTAAATGAGCACTAAAGAAATAAGATCTATCGCCTGTACAATTGGCCCTCTTTATTCATGAATTCTATGTCTGCAAATTCGCCTACTTGCTCACATTTATCTGTAAACACAAAAATCAGTACTCATGGTTGTTTTCTGGTGACCTGCAGACTTGGGCAGAACGTGGCAAAAGCATGAGTTGCTCGATGTGCTGTGACCCCAGCTGAGGTCAAACATGACAACGATTACCTTCTTGTCTCAGCTCATGCTGAAAACAAAAATCCTTTTCAGAGTTTATTTAGTGTCACGTGTTTCACAATTTTGTCCTTTCTTATTGGTGATTTCACTGTTTAAAATGGTCCCGGGCTGAGTGCAGGGGCTTATGCCTGCAATCCCAGCACTTTGGGAAGCCAAGGTGGGTGCACTGCCTGAGGTCAGGAGTTCAAGACCAGCCTTGACCGACATGGTGAAACGCCGTCTCTACTAAAAATACAAAAATTAGCTGGGCAGGGTGGTGGGCGCCTGTGATCCCAGCTACTCAGGAGGCTGAGCCAGGAGAATTGCTTGAACCTGGGAGATGGAGGTTGCAGTGAGCCAAGACTATCCCACTGCACTCCAGCCTGGGTGACAAGAGTGAAACTCAGTCTCATAATAAAACAAAACGAAACAAAAAAACAAAAAAAATGGTCCCCAAGTATAGTGATGAAGTGCTGTCTGGTGTTCCTAAATGCACAAGGAGGCGGTGATGTTCCTTATGGAGAAAATATATGTTAGAGAAGCTTTGTTCAGGCATGTGTTACGACGCTAGTGGCTGTGAGTGCAATAATAATGAATCAACAATCCATATTATATAAGGTGTCTTTAAACAAAAAAAGTACATGAAATAAGATTGTATACTGATTGGTTGACAAAAATATGTGACGAAAGCCTTGAAGGAACCCAGCACCTTGTATTTTCCCTAGGAGGAATGGTTCAACATTCACTAATCTGGCATTCAAGGTGAATTTTAGAACATTACACCACAAATAATGAGAAACAATGTTATATCAGGAGCTTGGCTCATCGTGGGTCCTGAAGTGATATTTAGTGGCACTCAGCACTAGGCCTATCCTAAAGCAGAATCCTGAAACACAGGATGATAAATATTGTACAAAAGATGACAGATTTAGCCAAAGAGCTTTATTTTATTGCCGTTAAAGGCAGCCACCCGGCCCTCGAGCATACCTGACCATCACAGAGGTCGATGAGTGGGGTCTTTTCCCGGCTGGCTTTCAGGAGTTTGGATTGGAAGAGTTTCCCATCAAAATACATCCAAGGACAACAGTGTTCCCAGGGGATTGGCTGTCCGCAAGCATCATTTGCAAACAAGGCCATGTCTACTCCACTCATGAAGAGAGCTGATAGCTGAATTCCTCGGGGATCTAGGTTCTCAATCTTTAAATTGAAAAGAGTAATTTCTATGGAATAAGAGTACTACATAATTGAATTCTTCCAATGTCTTACTAAACCTCTCCAAAGTTACCAATATTCCTCAACAAAACAGCACCACTAAGAAGTCCTATCATTACCTCATACTGACCTAACACTGGCCTCATTTGAACAGAAATACTTATGTGATTTAACACATTTGAATTTAAGAGAATATTTTATAAGCATACTCAAGTATTTCAGTTTGGGCTTATAAAGCGTTCCATAGTATAGAGTAAGACTGTACTTAAGGCTGACATGTGACAAAATGAGCAGTGATGTGTGGTCAAGTTAGTCCAGAGCTCCACAATTTATTCACGAAATAACACTTCACATTTCAGATCTGCACACAGGTAATGTATGAACAGAAAGAGTGTCAAAAATGAACACTCTATTAAGATTCTGCATTTTCAAATAGCTACATTTAAAAAAATTACTTGGTATAATCACATTCTAAAACAAATCTGTACTTTATGTTTACATTATTTTATATGTCAATGTTTTTAATTGCAACTTGTTAATAAGACTGTCAAAATGTCTTCTGGAGAAATGGATCGCTTATAAATGAAAGACGACAACCGACTACACATACTACTAGAATTTGCACAGACTTTAACGTCCCTCAGTGCTGAGTGCTGGGTGCTTGCCTTCTGTATGTAGAGCCCATGGTTCAAGTGCCTGATAAGCAGAGTAAGAAACACTAACACGAGTACAGTCAACTCTTGATCGTCTGTATGTGAAAGACCTAGTTTGTGGATTATCCAGGATAAAATTTTCGCTCTGCTCTGGCTTTTGTCTTCCTACTTTGGTGGCTTTTCCAGAACGCAATGTTTACAGGATATCGATCTAAGCAAAGCCTGTCTGTGGCAGGTAAAAGGGATTTTCATTAAAGGGAAAATTCTGGTGCCAAATGCTAATAAACTTACAATCATCTGCTGTTTTGTTGTCTGTGTTAACATTCCCTATTATCAGCTAACACTGTTTCCCAACCTTTTTAAAAATGTTAACAATGCAGTTAATCTGCCAAAACCTGAAGATGTCTGTTCACCAATTTATAAAAGGTGTTTACGCCTCTGGATCCTGCTGTACATCACCAGCTCCTCCTTTCCCCGTGTAGTTGTTGGGAAGTGAACTTAAAAAAAGTTCCCTTGGGGGCAGGTAAGGCTGGGGTGATAGGATTTGATGCATTTTTATATTATGCCAAGTGGAGGAAGAGAGGTCAAACTAGAACAAAATGGAGAAAATGTACTTGATTCACTTAGACCCCAGCCACCCCCACCTCTGAGCTGCAGAAAGCTGCTCTCAAGGCAGAACAAGGGAGCTGACCCTATTGGAAAGTGCCCAAGCAGAGTTGTGGCCCATGAATGACCAGGACACCCATCTCCTGGCCCCTTGCTCTGCGGAAATGACCACAGATCCCTTCCAGTCAGGTGGGACTCCGCTGCTTCTAGCACAGGGGCCTCCGTGCCCCACTCTCTGCCCTACGCCGGAGAACAGAGAACCCAGGTCAAGGATTAGGGAGAGAAAATGCTGCTCTAAAGTTGTTTACATGGCTATCCGAATGTCAAACACAAAATGCCACCAACAGCCTCTGCGTAAGCACATGCAGCACCATCCTAACGGTGTTTTTTTCTGAAACAGAATCTCGCTCTGTCGTCCACACTGAAGTACAATGGCACAATCTTGGCTCACTGCAACCTCCACCTCCTGGGTTCAAGCGATTCTCCTGCCTCAGCCTCCCAAGTAGCTGGGATTATAAATGTGCACCACCCTATCTGGCTAATTTTCATACTTTTAGTACAGTCCTGTTTTCACTATGTTGGCCACGCTAGTCTTGAACTCGTGGCCTCATGTGATCCACCCACCTTGGCCTCCCAAAGTGCTGGGATTACAGGCATTAGCCAACACATCCAGCCCCTGCAGTTGTTTCTTAGGAACGGGCTGGTGATCACATCCAGATTCAAACCTTTACAATTAATGTAACTCAACTAATGTAACTCAAAACCACTCACCAGGAAAATGGCTATCTGCACACCAAACTTAAGAAACAGCAGCAGATGTATACGGCACAGAAGCGCCCTAGTTAGAACTATTAACCTCCAAATTTGCTGACAGGAAGAATGTAGCAAGACTACAGTGTGCGTGCGCGTGTGTGTGTATATGCCTGTGTGTAAGTGTGCACGCATGTGTAACAAATGGCCTTAACATTAAAGGATTACATTTTTAAGACTTTTTTGCTGATTTTATTCTCTTTGTAGCAATTGTGAATGGGAGTTCACTTATGATTTGGCTCTCTGTTTGTCTGTTATTGGTGTATAGGAATGCTTGTGATTTCTGCACATGAAGAATTTTTTAAATGATGTTTATAGCTGAGATAATTAGAGGTTTAGTAATGATAACTAGCATTAATCTAAAAGAGAAAAGTTCTTTGAATAAGAGCTTGCATAAACAATCTGAATAAAATCTTGATTGCGGTGTAAATCTGCTTCCTTTGAAAATTTTTTAAACTTACATTACATGGTGCTTTTCTTTCCCTAAATGTTAATTATATAAATAATAATTGCTAATATTTATGGAGTACTTAAGAAATATGTATCAAACACTGCTTTTTTCATTGTCATTGTCATCTCTAAACAACACAGAACGCAGGTACTTCTAAATAGTATTCCCTTGTACAGACGGGTCACAGTGGGCTCAAGATCACAGAGCTGGTAATTGGGAGAACCCAAATCTGAACCCTTGATTATAAAAATGGCTGCAATACTCACATTCTAATCTCATTCTTTTACATCAATTGAGATAAAATATTCAACATCATCCAAAGTTCATCAACTAGAGAAATACAAAAAGTTCTGACTTTATAAGAAATACAAATACGGAAGTTAACCTCTCTGACCAATTAGCTCAAGAATCAAATTTGAATAACGTTACTTTGTCCAACATCTAATTACTGGGCAACAGACTCTTACTTCAATTTGCCATATTTCCTAATAACTCTTACACATATCACAGACATGTTGCAGGCTCCTAATACTGTCTTTAAAGCTCTTCACTTTCCTTCCATCTTTTATATTCTGCACTTGGCATGTAAAACTGTTAAAAGAACTTAAGGCAGTTATAGGGATGTCAAGGCAAGGGAGAAAGAAACTGTGCAAATATTATAATGGTACGAAGTTCTTTCTCCTCATTATTCACCCACCCTCCTCGAAACACAGGGTCAGTGCTAATTTTACCTTAATTATATTCATGCTGGTAACCTAGGAGAAGGGCTTAAAAAAATAACAGGAAAAATGAGGGTCATCAATCACTGTCACAGGTATTCAAGGAGCCACATGGAACACTCTCAATTATTCATGGACATGGCGGACGAAGAAAGCATGGATGAGATGAAATTCTTAAAAATTCATTGTAACTAACAGTTTCAATGTCTTTTCCTACCAAACCTCCCCATTAGAAAATGTTAACAAGAGTCTTAACTGTCAGCACCGGGTTTTCCTTCCTCTTTTCCTCCTCTGATGGCCAACCACAGGGTGGACGATAAATGGGGGAAGAGAAACAGGGTCTGGGCAATCCACAAACTGGGTAGCAGGCCCAGACACACCAGTTAACAGTCAAGAGTTGACTATATCACAAACCATGGAATAGTGTATTACAACAAAGCATTGTTGTTGCTTTTGATACTGCACAAAATTTTAGTGGTTAAATGAAAAGGCAATTTTAGAATTTAATTTTCTATCACTGAATTTTGGAACCCTCAGCTCTGCATAGGAATTTTTGTAGCATTTAAATAACGATCATTCCTATCAATTCTCAATCTGATGTTAGCTGAGAGGATCTTAAATCTTAAAAAAACAAAAAAGCAAACAATTGCCTTTCCCCTCAACAAATGCTATTCTTCCTTATAGGTCTTTCAGAATTTATACTAACCATGAAAATGAAGCACTTACAGGTGTAGGCTGTTCTTATTAAAGGGAACTGTCGACCTCCAGACAAGCAAGACCCAGAGGATCGATGAGTCAGACTGAAGTTTACTATACATACCTATGTCTTTCTGAGCACATCTCTACAAATGTCTGGCTTTAGATGAAGAACCAGGAGAAAACCATGAAAGCACTAAGATCTCAAAAGAACCAAAATGAAAGCTTAGAGTGTGATTGTCAAAAGTTATATCCTATGTGTTGATCCAAAAATGAAAAGGATATGAGATATAAGATGAACTTTGAGTAAAAGTAACTTTGATGGTGAATAAGGCTTAGTGGGCATACCTGATACCTGGAGGTCTGATTTTCAGAACTGGGATGTCAATACTGATGTAATTATCTATATAAGAGAAACAGGAGTAGAGGTAGAGGGATGGCACCACACTCTAGCAAAAGTATCTCCAACCCCCTGAAGCACAGTCTGTGACGAAGACGGTGGTGATGAGACAAATCAGGTGAGGATACGGGGAAGGACCTGACTTAGCACCAGCCACACTGCCTGACGGGGACACCTGACCAAACATTGAAAACAGAAACGTAAATTCAAAAACATTAAAAATAATAATTTCTGTCTAACAAACAGAAAAGCTTGATCTACAAAGCAAAGAATATAATTTGAAGTGAATTCTCCTAAGTTTTGGTTTTTTTAACAGCTTATTTCTAAGTCATAAGAAGTCTCAGGTGAGTTCTACATAGTTGAGGAGGGTCACTTAACACCAAATTACTCAATTTAACATGACAATTTAGGGAAAACTAGAAATTTATTAAGCAACAACTATTGAATACTGAAAATCTATAAAGTGAGACTAAAATTCCCCTGCTGGAAAGAATGCCTTCATAAAGAATGCCAAAAAGATCTAAGGTGAAGGCAATTTTGTGGAAAGAGATTAACTGATTACAAATCAAACTCTGTAAAACAAAACAAAACAAAGGAACTGATGGCAAAGAAAAAAAAAAAAAACAAAATCCTACACATTGAAAAGAAAAGGTTGATCTACTAATTTAACCAGCTTTGAAAAGTCTTGAACCTTCTAAAAATTTAATACGGAAATCAGAAAGCAATTACAACCATGTGAACCAGGTAACTAATGAAAGTATACTGAAAAAGATATTCACACTGAAAAATTAGGTGAGGACTTGAAGAAAAATCAATATTGTTAAAACAAAGAACAAAAGGAATTACTAGAAGGCAAAATTAAAAGGAATATGATGTTAAATGCTGACTTAAAGGGGCACAGAAATGATGATGTAACATCGTTCTTCAAGCGGTTTTTTATAAGGGATTTTATAATACTAGAGGGGCAAAGAATATTTTTTAGAGAAAACTAATGTTGTAATTAGAAACAATGAAATGAAATAAGAAAAAGAATGCTTGCTAGATGTTAGAAAATTCTTAAGATCAAGCCCTCTCAGGGACTGGAATCCCCTCCTAATATATAAAAAGCAAGTTTATTTTATGATGTGATAAATAAGAATAAACACCCAATGGTAATCAAGGGGAAATCATTCTCTGACAACAGTGGGACTAATCATTTCCAAACTGGGGATAGTAAATCCATAACTAGAAAGGAATATTCAGTATTCCTTTTGCCATGAAGGCAACTGATCAAGTTCTTATCATATTAGTATTATTAGTTTAGTGCCCTAAAGCAATTAGTTTAAAGAATTAGCAATTCTGCCTGTTGAAAGTTAGCTCTATTACACCAAAATCCAAAGCGAGACTGTCCAAGACAATGCAATGAAGCTGATAAATTACCTTGAGTTCCTGGAGCTGATCAGGCTCGTAGAGTTTGGGGGACAGCGCCTGAGCCAGGAAGGCATCCAGCTCCTGACGCCGGAGAATGCGTGCTCCTGGCCACTGCACCATGTACCTGGTGAGGGGCAGAAACGAAAGGTTGGTGATTACTGAGTGGTCAGCTGTCATAGCGACAAGCCCAGTGGGAGGTTCTAGGTAAATTCCGGATGAGGTGAGCTAAGAAGACCCACGTGATTTCTTATTCAGCTTTTCTATTTTCACTTGATGATGCCATTATGAATGAAAACATAATCACCCAAGATTACCAGAATGGTTTACTTTAGAATAATTATAATTGTGCATACTGAAAACTAGCTGGTCAGTGATTTCTGATACAACTTCACTCTTGTGAAGTATTTAAACACTGAAAGTACATTCTAAGTGCCAATTTTCGGGATTCATTCATTTTTTGTTCAAGCCAGGATACCCAGGAGGCAGACCCTAGGTACAAATAAGAAGAGAAATCCCGAGATGAAAAGCAAAGACCATTGCCTAGCCACTCTGCAGCTGCAGGTCCACAGAGGAGGTAAACAGTCAAAGATGGGGTCAGTACCACAAGGTGAGGGGGAGTTAGACTCAAGAAAAGCAATGCACAGGACCATCCCTAGAGTCAGAGTAAAACGTGTGCACCCTGAAGTGGCTGCTGAAGGACAATCAATCTCCAAATCTTCAACTTCAACTAGAACAGGTCTGCCTGAGAGTCTCCTTCCCTTCTGGGTAACAGCACTGCCTGAATCACAAACACCCTAGAGCACTGCGCAAGCACAACCCCAAGGAGTGTCTGGGCATGCGAAAGTGAAGGGCTAATTATAATGACTTAGTCATAAACCTTTCTGAAGTCTAACGGTTCCCAGTTCTTTGCATTCAATAAACTTGAAGGATGATCTAATCAAGTTGCCAGCTGATCACTAAAAATAACTCCTGATGATAGATTACTATGTGATTTCTGGCAAATAACTCAAAAGGAGTTCAGAGAACTGTGACATGCTTAACAAAGTTCTTTCCATTCCCATCTACAGAGTAAGTTTGTTCAGTGCTTAAAATCCGAGTTTTAAATATGAGTTTTAACAAAACCCAAGGTCAGAGTTGGTGCTGAGCACTAAATTATTCTTGTATGAATTAATATTCATCCATGGGAACACCAACTAAGTAGGAGAGGTTCTAGACAGCTCACTGAGATGTATTTTCAGTTGAAGCCCAAAGTGGAAAGTTCATGTGCTCGCTAGGTGCCAAGGCATCGGTCTAAGCACTTTACACACTTCACCTCATCTACTGTCATAGAAACTCTGAGGCAGGAATAATCATCATCCCATTTTAGAGAAGGGGAAACTGAGGCACAGAGTGCTTATATGTCCTGGTCAAATTAATGTGGCAAAAGTAGGATGTAAATGCAATCTCAAGGTGAACAAACAGCGAATGTTAACATTTGTATGGTATTTACATTTGATCAGATATATTAAAAAATGATGTGAAAGTTTTATTTAATTAAACCATCAATATTTGCAATGTCAAAAATCACATCCTTTGCGAAAGGTTTATGACTGGCACATCACTAGTAAAAGCAAAAACTAAACTGCCTTAAGGAGCAATGAGAAGACCATCATGTCCCTACTGTGGGGCTCCACCCCAAAGGCATCACCTGACTCTAATCACGAAGAAACATCTGTCCAATAGAAATTGATAAAATTATCCACAAAGGAATAAAAAAAAAGCTATGAGCTGGCTGCCTGTGTTTGTAAAAAGAAGGTTACTGGAGCATAACCATGCCCATTCATTTCTGTCTTGCTGACGGCCATCTCAACAGTGCTGATGAGATGGCACAGGTGTTTCTGGTATCACCGCTGAGAAAGGGCTGGCATTCACTGCCAGGCCCCAGGCCCCAGGCCCCAGGCCCCAAGACGAGCAAACAAAAGAGCAGGATGGGAGGCAATGCCACGAGGACCAGTTGCATGGCTTCTTCCCTGTCCTTGCATCTCAGTGCCCACACGGAGCAGGCCACAAGGCACCAGCCACTGGAGGAGCAGAGAAAATACAGCAGATGGGACGGCATTGTGCGTCTGAGCATGAACTTAAACACAAAGCTGAAACGATGCGGCCCTTGCCTCCTATGGTGCAATAGCAGCTCATCCTGCCATGGCCGTGGGGCCCCAGAGTGTGTCCTCACACAGGGTTCCAGTATGCACCTTAGGTCAAGTAGATGGTGGCCAGTCAGGTGCTCTGCTAGATTAAAGGCCATGTGTCACGCTAAACTTGGAAGAGAAAAATACATAAAAGTAATCAAATTCATTATTGCTAACTTGATCTCAGAGAACCCAAAGTCTTAAGCTTTCTATGAATATAATATTGTTATCGATCAAAACATGTCCTTAATTGAATTTGCCATCAGAAAAAACCAGAAGCCTCTAAAAGCAAAAATAAAGGAGGAGTCAGCTGGGCATGGTGGCTCATGCCTGTAATCCCAGCACTTTGGGAGGCCGAGGTGGGTGCATCACCTGAGGTCAGGAGTTCAAGATCAGCCTGACCAACATGGTGAAACACCATTTCTAATAAACAAACAAAAAAAAATTAGCTAGGTGTGGTGACACATTCCTGTAATCCCATCTACTCAGGAGGCTGACAGGCAAGCAGGGCGACTCAGGAGATACAGGGGCAAGCAGAACGTCTGTGGAGAAGTAAAGAGGTGCTAAGAGAAGACAACAAAGGCCAGCTGGCAAGGTAAGAAGGGGGACATCAAACAAGATGATGGTGCAGTGAGCTGAGGGCCCCCAGAGAAACAGAAGGCTCTGAGTCCATGCTGCTACAAACGTGCTACCTGTCTGAGAAGTGAAACCTTTATGGGGCCTCCAAGCGCTTCCACATGACAGTCACAAAAGATGAGAGCAGCTCCACACAGAGAAGCCACGACACCCTGCACCAAATCCTCAGAGCCAGCGTCCTGCCTAACGGGACAGGAGACCTGCACCTCCAGGCAGGGCATCACTCCTGAAAGCAAAGAGAGGACCTGGAACAGGAGCAGGTTCCTTGTCATGAAGGACACTATTGGGACAACAAGCCTAACAACTCTGAAGGGTGGAATGGACTACAGCATCACTATGGATTGATTTTGATGGCTCTACGGTGGTTATAAAGTAAAATGCCCTCATTTGTTAGAAAATCAGTAACGTATGTTTAAAAAAAAAAAGGGGGGTGGGTTCTGTATTGTACTTGCAACTTTTCTCTCTGTTTGAAGTTCTTTTAAAACCAAATCAAACCAATCAACTACAAAACCTAATGAACATCTAGTATGCATCCTAACTCAACTGAACTCCAGAACACCCCAACAGTGTCTACCCGTACACCTGAGCTACGGGCTGTGAGGGCACAGACGCAGAGACGTCCCAGCAGCAGAACCACACCAGCACCTGGACCTGGGTTTCCGGATACCTTCTTCATGACAAGGAACCAGGGCTGCTCTTTGGAGAGATGGCTGACGCTGGAGCAGGGAAACAAAAAGCCTGAAGCATCTCATAGCGCCAAAAAGCAAGGAAGCTCTCCCCAAAAAAGAGGATGGTGTGTGTCACAAAGGCCAACCTAAGACAGCTCCCAAGGCCAGAGCCAGGACAATGTGAACAAAGGTAAGGCAGAGCTGGATATAACCCCAAGTGAATTGAATATGACCCTGTAAAAAGAGGATAGGAGTCCATACTGACATAAATACAGTCATGTGCCACACTTATGTGTTGGTCAACAACGGACCACATACATAATGGTGGTCCCATAAGATTGTAATACCATATTTTGACTGTACTTTTTCATGTTTAGATATACAAATACTCGCCATCATGTTTGTGTAAAAACACTATGCTGTTTTGCACAATGACAATCACCTAATGACAGATTTCTCAAAATGTATCCCCATCATTAAGCAATGTGTGACTATAAATGATTAAATAAATGAAGGGGGAAGAAGAGACACATTTTCCCTATGTAAGAATTCCAAATAATATATAATAAGAATCTCCTTTTATAGCCTTCAAAATCTCCAATATTTAAATAATAAACTATGTTTAAAATCATTATATAATATTTATATACCATACATGCTTACAAAATATACCTACAAACATACTGTATCATAGCTATTAAAATCTAGATTGCTTTTACATAGCCTACATTTCTATCATATATAGAAATGTGGGATAAGGATAAATTTCAACAGACAACATTATTGATCTGGAATAAACTTTACATCCTCTCTAGAACTCATCTGACGCTGTGGTCACAGCCCCTACAACTGGCTGGGACCCAGGTCCCAGCTCCCGTGCGTGGCACCCACCGTAAGACGCAGCAGAGCACCATGAGGTGAGTGGGCACGTTGGCAGGGTTGAGCATGGCCGGGGTGTCCGACCTCATGCAGGCCAGGAAGGCCCTCATCCTGCGGTTCTTATCCTCCACCGCCTTGCCCAACCATAGCCTCTTCAGGTTGGGACAGGTCCACTCCCTGAAGGCAAGAGCTTCAACCAGTTCCGGGGTTTGAGGAGACTTCCCTTTGTAAGCTGCCCATTCTTTAATGATCACTGGTGAGACTACAGAGACAAAAAACGAGAGAAGACACATTCATGCATCATTCACCTACTTTCAGTCTTAACAAACATAAGCAGCTCTAGTAATCGGTCTGAAGACATCGCTTCTCAGGGAACAATGCGTTCTCTCCTAGCAAACCACCGACCATCGAGCCCTCGTGGGGATTTGGTTTGGCCCTCTATTCCACGAAATTAACAGTTCATTCAGATTTTAGGCCACGAATAAGTTTCATCCAATCAAATCATGACTTGATTTCCTCATATAATTAATAGGTATAAATCAAGATGTTAGACAAAATCCATTTTAACATTTTATATCTACAAATAGTTTTAGTTATAACAATTGGTGTCATTCACAGAAGTATGTGGTTATCTAATTATTTTAACATGCCAAATCCAATTTGGATAGCTAATCTCTTTCTGCATAGATAAATACCCTCACAAATTAGATTTGAGAAATAATTTGTATTCAGTAGCCACTTTACTGAACTTCCCACTTTAACAAATTTAACTGTTAAACTCTATTTTTAAGACTGGCCATAAAACACAAGCAGATGCACATATTCAAAGTGTTGAAATCCCAGATGATGCCAGCACACAGTAATTCTATTCAGCAAGACTTCAGACAGAGTATAAAGTTATCCAACGCTTGGTCTCAAAAAAGACAAGAAGTTCTAAGTTGACATAACACAAAAACAATACCTTTTATCCACAGATGTTTTACTGTTAGTCAATTAATTCTTACAAATACATAAACATCCACATTTTCCCAGTTGATTTCCCAATAAATTAAGGAAAAAACAGTGACAAGGAAATAAAACAAAAACAATCCATACTGTATAGTAGAACGTTAAAATTTCATCAACTGCACTGAGGTTAACAACCCAATAGGGAAATCTGAGTGTGCATTTCATAAGTAACGAGTGGTTCACTTTAGTTGAATAAACACCAGAACCACAGCAGGGCCCGGTGTGGCCCCTTGCCCAGTGCTGCTACACATGAGCAAAGGCACCGTCCCTGGCTAACACACTCCAGTACACAGCCCACTCCAAGGTCAGTGGCTGTTCAGAGACCAGGATGCTATCATAAACTCTAATTTGATCTTCAACACATTCATTCTATCCAAATTACATTAATCTATCTGGGTTTGTCTTCTCTAAAGTAATACCTAAGGCATTCTGAAGAATCCAAAAGCAGGACAGAGTTAAATGTATTACTGACTAATCTCCAGTTCCACTCTGAGTCTAAATATAGTCAGGCAATACAATAATCTCTTAAAATGTCATGAAAAACGCCAGCAGTTAGATACTTGGGATACATACTTTCTCAGCAACAGAAAAAAAAAAAAAATGCTTACACACATTTCACTACCTGACAAGTCAGGTAACAGTGTCACATATAGGAACACATTGAGTCAAGATCTCACTGCAAGGGCTCTGTGACAAGCCCTTCCGGAGCCAACTCCAGACAGTGTCCCCTTACCTGAAGCCTGCAGCGCACAGCTGGGGTACAAGTTAAGGCAGTCACTGAAAATTTTCCTTTTACAAAAATGTTACTGCTCTCATTAGGCAAATGTCTGTCATCACATTTGAATAACTTAGTGTTTAGATGTTAAAGCGCTATTTCAAACACTTCAAATGCTTAAAGTCCATCAAGTCAAAACACAGACATACATGTATATATAAATACATGCTTATTTGTTTTTATTCCATACTTTTAAGTGTAGATATAAAACCAATAAAGTCTCCACCACGAAGCAGACCCTGTCGTTGGACGCACAATCTAAAGCACCGCCCCCACCCCAATCCTGTGGATCTCCAGCACAGCTCAGCTTCTGGAAGCTTTCCCAGAAGTAGTGTCAGAACATGCAGGATCGTCTCCACAACCACCACTACCATGCACAGGCCTTCCTGGGAGCCGACCCTGCCTTCCCTCCTGTGATCCGGCACCAAGGCTGCTTGGGTCCAAAGAAAAAAAAAACAGACAAGGGGGGGCTTCCAGAATGAGCTGTTCGCCAATATGCTATGTTGCTATCAGATCACTCCACATACACACACCCCACAAACACACAGGACACACATTTCATACCACGCACACATCACATCCTTCACACAACATACCTCCCCCCAACAAACCTCACCTCACACATCCCCAACACCACACACACACCGCAACACACACACTGAAACACACCACACACACAGAGCATGGGTTCGGGCTGTGCCTGTCAGGAGTCCCCTAGGGGTCTTCAAGAGAGCCGTAATTAACAAACACATCTTTACTTTGTCATTTTTTTCTTTCCCTTTCATCCACTCTGTTCTCATCTCTCTTGAATCATTTTAGCAATCATTTATGTTTCATTTTCATTCTAGGGAAAAAAAACTACTGGTAGAAGATTTTCCTTCTCAATTTCAAAACCTTTAGGCCTCTGCAGAGTTCCTCCCACGAGGCCCGAGGTCACACAGTGACGTGGAGGTCACAGGCACTAGTCCTAATGCACGGTATCCTCAGAAACATGCACTCCAGCTGCAGGCTCCGACAGCTCTCCACGTTAGAGCTCTGAGGGCCTCCTGTATGTCTGAATGAGCCTGGCCTGGCGCTGTGTCTCAAGACTTTACACAGCCCAGACAGAAACAGGTGAACATACTCCTGAGAACCGAAACTGGACTCTTGTTGAGGGACTCACGGTAATACTCCAGCCAAAGGCTGCCCCGAGTCCTATAAGGGCTCAGAACTGTCTCGGGTAAGCCTGTAGACACAGTAGGGACAGAGGGGGGACAATGTCCTCTTTCACAGCACTAAGCATGTTGTTGCCCAGGTGCAACAGTCATGACAAAAACAGCAAATCCAATTCAAGAAATACATGTCTTTATCAAAGAAAATAGACGTGACTGACACAAAGCCTTGCCCCAGAAGCAAAGATGCTCATCTCCGACAGTTAGAGATCTTCTGAGTCTTCCACCACAGAGGAGAGGTAGAACCTTAGGCCAATCAGTTAATCAGTATTTACGGAATATCTACTATGTGCCATGTAAGGCTGGGGCAAGGGGGGAGGCGGGCAATCTGCATGGGCGTGTGCCTGAGAGGGAGGGTCTCCTTGAGTTCTCAGACCTCAGTCTAGATCCAGGACTAAGATAAGAGGTCACAACTAACTTTGCAATACAGTTCCGGTGATTAAATATAAAAAGCACCTAGTGCCCCTCATTATGTAGAGAAAACTGCGTTAAGATTGATTCACATTTTATACATTACTTACATTAATTAAAAATTAGTGCTTATGAAGAATTCCAAGGGACATCCAATTTTCAGGTTGACACAGCACCCTCAAAGGTGGAAGGAGTTGGGGAAAGAAAAAAGCTTGCTTCTGCTTTACAAATCACCTGCAAAGGGGCAGCTGAAGGACAGCCACTAGAGATGGGAGCACCTCCTGCTCTTCTCTCTGGGCTTCTCAGCCCTCCTGGTATTACTCAACACACAGAAAATAAGCAAATAAAAGTAGCCAGCTCACAGCAAGGTACTTGAGTCTTTACAAAAACCTGCGGGTATGTGGGCTTGTCCATGGCACTGGGCTCCAGCACATCCCGAGTGGGTACCATCTGGGAGCTAGAAAAAGCATGGTGGTGTAAAATGAACCCTGTACTGGTAGCTTTGAAGAGAAACATGTTCCTACTGTGTCTTATTAAAACAGTAAGAGATTCCTGGAAGTCAGCTTATCTAGCTGAAGACCTGTGAATAAATCTTGTGTATCACTATCGACAAATATTAATCTCATCTTTTCAACTATCAGAAAAATTCGCTACTTCAGGAAGTAGCGTAGTTCTAAAAGAATGAATATCAAACTGTTTTCTTTACCTTACACTAAACCGAGTTTTTACACTGGGGGAAAAACAACTCTAGAGCAGACATGTTACCGGAGGCTAAACTTACGATGCATTTTCCTTACAGAAAGCACCCCTTCAAAATACAAAAGACAGTGTGGGGCCATTAAATACTATCGTACTTAAGCTGTCGTAAAAACTCAATGTTTTCCATCAGATGTCACTCATCTTCTTTTAGCAGCACATGTAACACGACAACTGGGCTGGGTGCGGTGGCTCACGCCCGTAATCCCAACACTCTGGGAGGCCAAGGCAGGTGGATCACCTGAGGTCAGGAGTTCCAGGCCAGTCTGACCAACATGGAGAAACCCCGTCTCTACTAAAAAAAATACAAAATTAGCCAGGCATGGTGGTAGGCACCTGTAATCCTAGCCACTCGGGAGCCAAATCGCGCCACTGCACTCCAGCCTGTGTGACAGAGGGAGTTGCCATCTCAAGAAAAAAAAAAAAAAAAAAAAAAAAGCTATGACATCTAAGCCACCTTAGAAATCTGTTATAATGCTGACTTTGGATCTATACCAGCCCAGGAATAATATACATGGTTCATTTTCTACGCCAATCCCAACTTGCTGGAATGGCCACCTATAAGACCGTATTATTATTAAAGTATGTCTCTAAGCTTAGTGCCAAAGCACCACCATTAATTAGCAATGCCCACTAAGGGAGCAGAAGAGAGAGCTGCCGCATGCAGGCACGCGTGTTCATAGGTGAGGAAGAGATGTGTAGAGATGAATGGCTTCCAAGATGGTGGCTGACAAGACTTCTGGTTGTGTGTATTTTGGGAGGAGCCGCTATTATACTTGCCGAGCTTTCCCGGGATTGTTATGATCATAAACAACAACAAAAACCTCCAAGTCATTTATATCAGGGAAGAAACAGAAAACTGGAGACAATGACTGTTCTTTCCTTCTAACAGGGAAACTGTCCCTTAACTTCTAAGCAGCCCCAGCATGTAGCATGCAGGTGGCAGGCTGAGTTCTCCTCCTCAGGCTGACCCATTGGTAAGCACCCTCTTTAATTCTCAAAGGTAAAGGGCTTTGGATATTTTCTTAAACATTTGATATTTGAGGATGGAGCAGCCCATTGTCCACAAAAATATAAATGCTTAGTAAGGCACAAGACATG